AATCTGTGGTTACATGTAACAATCTCATTAGCTTTGCAAGGACACTGCCAGAGAATCTATTAAAACTCAACGCACAAACTTCTAAAAACCATAAAAGGTTACAACTTACAACAATTAACTCCCCTTTTCACACCCGAGGCAGAATTAGAAAGAGAAGAGACAGAGAGAGAGAAAGTAAAAAGAAAAAAATAGAGAGAGAAAAAAAAAAGTTTTTCTAGGGTTTTTTGGTCTTTGTGTACGCAGGCTTCAAGGGATGTTGATGAGGCTCAATCGAGTGAATTTTCAGGTAACTTTTTTTTTTAATAAATTATTTGGGTAATTATATTAATTCAAGAATGAATAATATTGATGGACAATTATTCCAATTTTTTTTTTTAAATATTGCACATTCAATTTTTATCTGCAGTTAGAGGGAGGATATTTTCAGTTCACATGATTTGGGATTGATTCTTGATAATTTAATTCTTCAATAATTGATGATTTTGTTTTCCTTTAACAACAATAATAAAAGCAAGTATCATTATTTTTCAATTCAATAGCCTCTTAGGAAGATGTTTGGGTGCTTATTGATTAATTATATTCCAAATGTCAGCCATATTTTCTTTCCTCAATATAGCTACCTTTTCTGTAAATTTCTAGTCATATATGTATAATTGTATATACTAATGAAATGAAATTACAAATCTTTCAGATCCAATTATTCTCATTTCAACACAATCATATTTTTTGTGTCACAGATTGCCAAACTCTAGCTCCAAGATTTATCGATAGCCTCGCTTTTACGCTTAGTCACAAGTGATAATGTATCAACCGAACATTTTCGACAGTCACCACCATCACCTTCTCGACATTACTCACAATAAGACTTCGGAAAACGAGATGGACCTCATCCGAGACGATGAATACGAAAGCAAATCGGGCACGGACATTATGGAAGCGCCATCTGGCGACGATCAAGATCCCAATCAACGGCCCAAGAAAAAGAGATACCATCGCCACACGCAGAATCAAATCCAAGAAATGGAGTCGTATGATCATCGAAAAAATTAACAAACTTTCCTTCTTAATTTTCTCTATGAAAATATATATATATATATATATATATATATATTTATTAATGTAAATCATCATCATTTTGAATAGGTTTTTCAACGAGTGCCCTCACCCGGATGACAAGCAAAGGAAGGAGCTCGGGCGTCGGCTGGGGTTAGAACCTTTGCAAGTCAAGTTTTGGTTTCAAAACAAACGTACCCAGATGAAGGTAATGTATTAAATATCTACTTAATTATAAGTACATAATGTTTCTAAGGCAAAATTGCATATAATGGCACCAACTTTTAGGTTTTTGTAATTTAATCGCCACATTTTGTACTATTTGTGCTTAAATCACCACCTTTCATGTGTTTTGTAGATCAAAGCATAAATTTAACTTCCGTTAGATTTTCCGTCTGTACGAAGTGAGTCACGTAGACAGTTTCGTCTATGCCAAGTCGGCTCTAATCGACCAGAAGTTAAAATTTATGAAATGTGGTGATTAAATAGCAAAATGTGGTGATCAAATTACAAAATGCCTTAAAGATGGTGCCTTTTATATGCAATTTTGCCTATTTCTGAAACTTTTTTTTTTCTTTTCTTTTTCCTTCATTATGTTTTTTTTTTTTACTTATACTTTCAGGCTCAACACGAACGCCATGAAAACACCCAACTGAGAAACGAAAACGAGAAGCTCCGGGCTGAAAATATCCGCTATAAAGAAGCTTTAAGCAATGCTACTTGTCCCAACTGTGGAGGCCCAGCTGCCATAGGTGAGATGTCATTTGACGAGCAACACCTCCGAATCGAAAATGCTCGATTAAGAGAAGAGGTAATTTGATACTCATTGAATATCTATAAAATCAAATTAGATAGTACATTATGCTAAAATAGCTTGTTATTCATTCTCTATCCA